TCTTGGTTTTCTCCCGGCCTCTCTTCCTCCCCCCCAGCAGTCAACTTATTCCATGAAACAATCAAACAAGTGTTTAACCTATGCTACCTTTTTAACTTCCTTTCTGAGGCTATTCCATCAGCAAAATATTGGCATCACTTTTGAACAACTTAAAAACCTGCTGTATATCAGGCTGTTGAAACCAGTAAGAATTTTTCCCATTTCCAAATCCTCTACTTCAAAAGTTATAACCGAGCGCTTTTGTCCTATCGCTTTAACGTCTACTGACCTCACACTTGCAGACCGTTTTGTTCTGAGGCGCATTCAGTCTTCACTTGGTGTTCCGTATGATCCTCTCCAGTTTGCCTATAAACCAAAGAGATATACTTGAACCTGAAATTACCAAATCCTTTGATGACGCTGCGAAATCTGTTCGTCGTTTGTTTCTGGAGTACTCTGCTTTCTATGCTATTTCTCATTCTCTCCTCCGTACATTGGAGACCGATTGTCTGAGGCACTTATTGGCTATGCTTGCTGATTATTTTCCGGAAGAACTGAATTGACCAGGTTAGGTTGAAAGAAGTCCAACCTAGTGGTGGATAGTTCAGAGCTACTTCAATTTGCAGTTCTTTACCCATTTTTATTTTCTGCGTGCATTAGTAACATGTATACTAGCCCTTACTGCTCTCTTCAAATACGCTGATGATATGGTTTTATGTCAGACCATCTCCTATTCTTCTGGTCTTTCTCAATTTTCTGATATGTTGAAAAACGTCACGCTGCCTCTCTTACTGCTTCCAAATGTTTATAATGTCTCTTTACATTATTACACTATTCTTTCCCATCTGATTCGGTATCCATTGGCTCTGAACCAGTATCCCTGGTTTTTTGTGGATGGTAATCTTTAAAGCACCACTCCCATTCATTAAATAATCCGTAAACTTCGAGGACTCTCCTTTTATATCTGTAAGGTTCGGCAGTTTTGTGTTGAACAGCTGAATATTTCCAAATTAGTGTACACTGGGGTTTCTCCGTTTTATCGTGTTGTTCACTTGTTATTTTTTCCAATATAAATAAAGATTACAAACTGCTTCGACGTGAAATGGCCACCATTATCGCATCTCTTCGATTCCACTGGTAAGTAATCTGTGCGACTGCATGTGAAACGTTTTTACATATGATTTCTACCCGCTCCACACATCCGTTACAACCAGATTTAACCTTGTGTTATTCTCATCCGTCAACTAGATCCCATTTATTCATTCTCGAATAAGCATACTTCGCAGGTCTACGGTACCCTAACTGGTATGCATTCCATTTAGCAAAAAACAGGTTTTCAAAAAATGTATTAACAGTTTTGGGATACAGATCTGGTCTTTTTCTCTCCTTCTCACCAACTTCCATTTTTTTACTGAAATGTAGGCATTGTTCCCAGACAATTTATTACAGTACCAATGGCAACAACAATTATTTGAATCAAATAAGGTAAACATTGTCTCCAACCATCTGAATCTCTGGCTTGATTTTTGCATCAGTGATGCGGACTAATACACCCGATTATCAAATTCGTTCACTGTCAATTTTGTAACAGCTATTACTTGGCTTCTGTTTGCAACACGCGTTATTTGACTAGAAGCCATTCTACCAATGAAAGTCTAGGGTTCGTTACTTTGGGCGTGATTTATCACACTTGTGGATTTTTGCGTGTTCTATTCATCAGCTCTTGGTTATCTAACAAAATAAAATTTATAGAACTTCTAATTTAAATGTCCATCTCCAGAGTGAACGTGAACTGTAGTGGAGGATGATTGATTAACCGGTCCCCATATTTTGATATGATCGTTGTGTGTTGGTGCGTTGTTGGAACTAAATTATTCTTTAATCTTTGTTTGCAGTGCACCTATATTCCTATGGAATATCGAACTCAAACATCAATAATTATTTAGCGGCCAATTTTGAATAATTCGTCAATCCAATGAAAAGTTAGTTAAAACATTGCGTTGGTTACGTCGTCCATATCTTAAATTGAGTTTTGTTCACTCACTATTTATGGATCATCATATGTTAAATTGATAATAATTCATGTGAGATGATCACGTTTATTGAAGTCGTGGTACTTGACGTTAGTGGAATCTTTGCATTGTTCCGTTCACACCTATTTGAAGAGAATAAGTTTATTAACCCAAACTGCGGTTGTCGGAGAAATCAAAATTAATCACTCCCATAGATCAAATTTTCACGCGGTCCTCTAGGGGTACCAGGGTTCGCGGGTAGGTGAGGCACTCAAAATGGGTTACAAGCGTCACTATATACGTCTCTTTACTGCACCATGTCGGTTTTCTTTCAGAACCGGTGTGCAGGAATCCTCTATGAAATTTAAATTCAGTATATAGAGGAAATCGAATGGAATGAGGAATAAGCTAGGTGAAACTTGGGGGAACAAAAGTGCTCTTCTTATACGTTCTTCTTCCTCTCACAAATTTGTGGACGCGGTCCAGATAGCCCCATCATAACATAAAACGTTTTCTCTTTGTACAAACATATATATATATTCCATACATTGAAGCCATTGCAACCGTGAAATTTTCTAACCTGTTACCAAATCTCTTCACAGTCCTCATATTGCAAAATTTTGGTTGTAATCCCGTGCGACCGGAGCAGCCGTACGGTTAGCTGTTGAAACTGATTCGAATTATTATGAAGCATTATGAGGCATTTTTAACAGGCTTGGGACCAAGTTTTTGCAGGCCTACCAGAATGAATACAACGATCACCCGCAGACACCGAAGGTCGAAAGTGAATGTTTCTGAAAATATGTTTAAAGCATGCCGAAACGTCCAGGATTTCAGACAACAAATAAGGGGTGGTTTTGGTGAATAAAAGGTTACCACGATTCATAATGCGTACCAGCTATCCAAAAGTGATAAACTCATCATACTTATGTGCAGAAACACAAGATTTAATAATTCATCCATTGAGAACAAATGTGTTTTGCCGATGAAAAATTAATTCCTAAACTTAAATTTTGATATAGGATAGTTCAAACCAAAAAACAAACGTTTTAGGAAAAACTGTTTAGTATTGTTGACAAATATTGCCTTGTATAACATTTACCAAATAAGCCGGCTATTTGCTAAAGTGAGACAGTATTGTCTTTCCACACCGGACTAACTGACGTCAACCGATCTTATAATTATCTATTGGTTGTCAAAAGCCTCGTTTTTGTGTGTGTCTTATGGAATTCATTTGACACTGGCATACAATCTTCATTGATTTGCAATCATTTTCAAATGCCTTATCTACAATGTTGAAGGACATCCGTAAGTGGTCTGAGTTTCACTGTCTGTTACGAGTTTCCAATAAAAAGGATAAACAAAACTAACTAAATGATAAAACTTTATGAGCTTATTTGTTTGATTGCCTTCTATTCCAAGGAAAACCTGTCGTGCCACTGAGCGGATGATTTGTGGATAGTATACCTGTGTAAGTTGGGTTGGTGACTTGTATGTGAACATATCAGTGCTCCCGGTGTAGCCTCACTTTTCGGCTCGCAGACAGGTCTTTTAGAGGAAAGGGGAAGCAACGCCCATGCATCTGGTCAAATTGCACCGATGCTACTGATCCTTTCACAAAAAAATTAAAAATCTGTCTCCCAATCGGAATCTGTCAAATAACTGATTTCTGTCAGGTGTTTGTGTCAATTTTCGTTTATTTATAGTAAATCAGGCCTTATCCTCGGGAACGTTTGAACTTGATTTGCCATTAGGTTGTTAATAAAGATCTCGAAACCAGTGAACAATATCAAATTCCTACATTTCAATATTATGTACAAGAGGTGATGGCCACCAATTTCCGTGAAGTACTTGGAAGTCTTTGTTCTGGTGTACTGAACCCACTTATGAAAGAAACTCCTATGTATTTTCTCACAAAATATAAATTCAATACGGTTCAGTTGTTGAGTCTATCAGAAGGTTAAATCAAACAAATAATCATCATCATCATCAATTGTGCGTTCAAATACAATTAAGTTTGATTTTCTGGTAACAAGCGTGCTTCATTCCCTGGCCTCGTCGGTTTGTTCCTCGGTTACGATAAACCCTACTGTCTCTCGCTGTGGTGAGTTTGTGGTTGATACAAAGAAAAGAAACTCAAAATTTAGTAGGACATAACAGCTCATTTCAGTATTTAACAAAAGATAGAAAACCATCTTGTTTGAAATCTTACAGTTTGATAAGATATTTAAAATGGATCCCAGCAGCCCTGGTGTACTGAACCCAGTCGTTCATGTGTTCCTTGAGCTTGGCACTGTATTCCACCACCTGCCGAAGAGACTTCTTCCCTCCCAGGTTTTGACGAAACTTTTGCAAACAAACTGTCAAGTCCGACGAACAGGCGAAATCGGCTTTACCGTACCATGCAACCAGTGAGTGTTTTCAATCTTTTGGTTAGATGGATGTTTCCAAGAATTTACTCTGAAGCCGGTTTGTGATTGAGGTTAGTGAAATGTCCACCTGCTCTGCAGCTAGTGTTCCGTTTTCACTAGGTGAAATTATTACATCGAGAAATTATTACATCGTGGTAGCTTATTGATTGCTATGTTCAATGATTTCACAAAACTGTAACGTCTAAACGCCTAAATGCTGACATCCCACTCCTCTTCGCTCTATTGGGGTTCACACTAAAATACATTTATATGTGACCAGCACTTTTTACTTGTGTTTTCATCACATCTCAAGTGCACAATCTTGAATGAAACATAAGCGTAAACAATTTTCCCTACGTTTCGTGTCCTTAAGATGTATTCACTGTATGACCGTATTATTGTAATGTTTCATGTCCCGCTGATAACGTTTGACTAATAGAATGAAGTTCACAAACAGTGCGCAGGGTGACACATTGTATAATCCGTAATATATATTATGGACAGTCACATATTACCCTAATTACTTCCGTTGGATGTTGCTGTATTCTGTAGTAGATAAATCAACTCAGAAGGCATTTGCGACCAATCATTTTTTCACTCACTGTCTGGAGGTACCCAGTTCAAGCATGACAAAACTCAGATGCACCATTTCGTTTGGCTTGCCGACGAATGATACATCCATGGTGATGGAAACAGGATACTTTTCCGGATATCCTGGGGATTGTACAGAACCGGTATTGTCTATGCCAGATCCTTTGGAGTAAATGATTCTTGACCAAGGATTGGTTATGTCACGTCCCGGAAGCAGCATTGTGGGACTAATCCAAGCGATGGAACTATTATGACCATCGTCTAAAAGGGATGAATGGCATGATGAATTGCGTTTTATTTTGTTGCTTTTATCTAAATTGTTAGCGAACAACACAAGAAAAACAACAGAAAAAGTGAAAAGTATTGAAGACATTCGACAGAATAGAGCACTCGGGTCCACTTTTTATGGGACGATCAGTAACGGCGAACGTTGATTTAAAATTGTAAGTTACCAAATGATTTTCATTCGACAGTTTCACCTCAAAATAAACCATATTATTGATTCATTCAAACTTAAATCTATATATTGCGAACAATAATCTAATACAACCGGGAAAACAAAAAATATCAGATTTGTGTTGGACGTTTTGTATTCACATTTTTAAAATCCAGACCAGCTGCATAATACAGATTGTTTAGTACAAATTTTGACACAAGTATTTACATGTACGCAATAATCATGATTGTGCCGTTGTAAACTCTAAGAAAAGCAACCACTCTTTCTGCTGACATGGACCAGGCTTCTATTCTTGAAGCGCAGTTGTTGTTTCAACAAACTGAAGTGAACATGGGTCAGTAGTTTACAGGTTCAGTAAAAAAGCTGTTTGATCAAGCTGATTCTTTATTTGAAGAAAATGTAATGGAAGAGAGGCTGATAATTGTCCGGTCAATGATCTGTAACATGCTTCCCTTTTATTCAAGTAGGCATCCTTTCACAGTGGGACACGTTCAGCTGCTATCACTAGTAACTGCACGAAGTTTTGACTACAAAGGTGATTATTCTGTTAGCCGGTGCTCAACGCGAAAACTTTCTTTCTTTTATGTTTCAACAACCACACCGATGAATCCAGCAAGCAGTATTGAAATTGCCCAAATAGATATCTTGCACCTCGTGTGTTGTACCAATTTGAGCAGTGGACGTATAATATCTTACTTCTGCACGGGAGCCTAGTCTAGATAAAAAACAAACTGAATAGTGTTGTCAAGCTCATCAAACTGAAATCCGTAAGGACACTTAGTATGTTTATTATAAACATCCATGAAAATCGGGAGAAGCATACATAGCGTTTGACGATCTGCTTCAAAAGTGAATTATTTTTTATGAATTTCTTCATGTTTCCTCTGCAACTTAAGTACCTATTCCAGTGCGTGTACCAAACAGTTTTCTTTCTATTCTATCATTTCATAACACTTTGTTGAATTCGTAAATTGCATCGTATAACAAAAGTCTCAACTTTATATTATTACGCAAAATATTCTAAATGAGGATCAGGTTTTGTCTGTAACGAGTTTATGCTTATCGACTTCTAATCGTTCAGCAATAGCTCCCAATTGATCTATTTAAATAAAATTGCAATCACTTGTTTCATGCTCTGATGAATAGAGCATGTGTTGCTCAAGAAAAGCCAAATGTGATTGAAACAAGTCTCCGCATAACGAAAATACACTGTATCGATGATGATAAAACTGAAAAGGATATTTGCAACTGAAAAGAATTATATTATTGAACGTGATCTGCTCGACATTATTAACTGTTACAATGAGCAAATTGTTCTCGTTTGGCTATGGCGTATGCCAAATCTGTTATCCTTTTCTGGCAGATTTACATGGAAAAATAATTTGCAGTAAAACCTGTAGTATGCCCGATTTCATTAGCTAGCTTTTGTGGTATTATTTTGTGATCGTTTGCTATCACACGTGTAGATCTCCGCTAAACGTATTACGTGTATTGATTCACTGTGAACTGCAAACATGCAGAATCGGTCCCAACCAGCAGTATTACACCGAGTGGTTTTAAGCATTTTGGCACGTGTTTAGTTTTCGGTAAAATATCACCAATTTCCATAGGTTGGACGGTTAAATGTAAATGGATTTCAGTTTTTCTCATACGTGGCTATTTACTGCACTATTTTTGCGCTGGGAAATGAAGTGTACATGTTACTCTTACAAAAACGTACAGTTTTTTTTCTCGGGAATGCAACCAATCTCTGACAGTTTGGCATTCGGTCAAATCTGTTGACTGAGCCATAGGCTGTTGGAGTTTGTTAAATATGTCGGTTGTGGACCCGTTATCAGGTCAGATAACTACCCTTTTTCGTAGTAGTTCACTTTGTCACTACTTGTAGCTAAAAGGACATGAGGAAGTATCTGTTTAGAAAAGGAATTTTACTGCACAAATGAGATCTTGATGTGTCAAATTTTAAAATTTTGAATAAATAATCCTCTCTCGGTAATATGCTTTCAGTATTACATGCAACAGAACTGTGAGACTATTTTCATCAAAAGGTTCAAGCTGAGTGGTTGGGTCTCCATGGAAACGAAACTTTTTTAACTTTGTATTACTTTGAAAACCTTTAAAATCGTACCGCATTTGTCGGCAGAGTGGACTGAATCTGGAATACAATCTAACGCATAAAAACACGCGTTCTGGATGAGCAACACTGAGCTACATTGTGTTCGCCCAACTGATTGTCCTGAGCGGTACAACGTTTTCCCGACCCCACTGTTTTTGTGAGGCGATAATTGATTTTCGACAACCAGGTGCACTGCAACTCATGTGAGTAAGTAATCTGCATTAATGCGGAATAGCAAATAGAACCACGGACAAGGGGTGTCTGTTTTCATCCCAAAATTGTATCAGACGTTTCACTGACCAGTATGGTTTGTTTGTGGTTTTGCATCCTTGCAGAATCTGTCACGTTCAAAGATAAATGGAAAGCTTCTGGAAATAACCCTAGTTATTCGAAGTGCTTTTTCCATAACTTGAACATGCACCTCAAAGATAAGTGGAAATTGCTTTCTGAAATATTTACATTCGGCTTTTTTTAACAACCACTGGTTTCGGTAGCATCAAGTTTACTTTATACTCAGTTAAATTGGTGAAACAGTAAAAACGTTAGCAGCCCCACTGTGATTGGAACCCACGCATTTGCGCCGCTTACGCCTTTGTTCATCTCACGCTGCGCCACATGAGTTACGTGGATTCAAGTCCAACCGAGACTACAGAACATCTCAAGATGTCAACATAAGTCTCCATCAACCTGCGAAAAACTACCTCATCAGCTAAAAATGTAATTTTTATTCACATGATTTCGAGTTTTATTGGCATTTTACCTCGAAATCATCTTTTTATATAGAAATTACCATTCTGTTTGAAATTGTGTTATGCTTGTTCAGCTGCTAGTTATGCGGTCACGTAGGTTACTCTTAGGTTACTCTTAGGTTCCTTCTGGTTGCCCCTGAGCAACTAGTTCTGACAAGGTTTTCAATGGTAAAGAACATCGTTTCTAAGATTGGTCTCCTCCGTTAAAACCATTGCGAGCATTATTGGGGTACCCGTGCATTAATTTGGAAAACATCTGCTACCAGTCTTCGACATCGGAAATTGTCTGCAGAATATCAGTTGAAATGCCAGCCGCGTATAAACAAATAAATGCATCAAGCAAATCATTGTATCACTTCTTTCCTCTTGCAGAACTTAACAAAAGTGTAACTCTTTATTTTGTATTGTCCCCTGTATTTAAACAAAACTAAATTTATATCTTTTAAGTAACACAATCCATGCAGTCTGATTACGGATAGAAGTTTGTGTACTGAAAGTGGTTACTTATAAAATCCGTGAGTACGTATCGTTTCTACGTCTCATTCTGTGCGTACCTCTTGCGTTTTACCAACGAAACGGGATCACAGACAGTCTTGTTTATGTTCATCTTTTTATCTCTCACAGGATATTTATGAACTCTTTTTATTCAGAATTTAGTCAAGAGACAAATCTTTTTAGTACAAATCAGAAATGCTACTGTCTAAGTAACAGAATTTGATGGCAAATGAAACGCAATAATCTAGACATTCTTTGTAACTGATTACTATCTCTGATGGGATCCTTAAGATGGTACCTAATCGAAAAGCACGATCTGTTTAGGAATTACATGCAAATCATTGATCATTCAATATTCAACAACAACGATAATTGTGACTTGTGCCCTTAGTATTTCATGGACAACCTCCGAATTATGCTACTAGATTAGTTTCACATGCATTCCAAAAACATTTCAAAGGAACAACACTGGAAACAAGTAAGCGAAATTGTAATTTTTCGTTGAGCTAACAACCTTTGATTTGTTTGCATAGGAAATGGGATTACAAATTATTACAGACGAATCTGACCTCGAAATACAGAGGCAACCACTACTGTGTTGTATATTGATGTCGTTTATTGTAACTTAAAAGATGAGGCAAATATAATATCTGATGAATACAATATGATGGTTATTGGATGGTTCGTTCAAAGGGAAAAAGCAGCTTTTCTAAATCAAAAAAGTGCTTTGATTTGCTCAAAATTAATATTTGTACTCAACAGAATTATTCCTGTTTTGTATGTGATTGTGAGAGTACACGTCAATTTTCTACTACAATCGGGATTCTGGTAAGGCAACACGCGTGCAATGTGTACCACCTCTTTTTTTCTAACTGCAAAATAAATCCCTTTTTATTGAATTCATCAGAAAGATGGAAGCGGCCAATCAAAGGGCTGCCATAAAGCTCACAATAGAGGACGTCCTTTGGTGATAGTGGGATTCAAACACCCATCCCCCGGGGTGGTAACTTGATGGCATTACCACCTGCTTTCCACGGCTCGGAGTAAGTGAGGATAAATCCCATTTTGTATGTGGAGTACATTTACCTTGTTAACTCGCTGACAAAACGAAATGGGACCTGGATTCAAAAAGTGTTGTTTACCCATTCAGCCTGCAGCCTACTAGTCGGGAGGGACTGTATCTATCGGAAGAGTTTACATCTAAATTGATTTGTCACCGGTTAACTAATTCTAACTGTGTTTAAATGTCTCAATACAAGAACAATTCAAACACGGTTAACGTGTTGCAGGTATAGATATATCAAATGTTTCCGGCGCAAGCCGTTAAGCTGTCAAAATAGACCACCAAGTGTAGTGGATAAAAACGTGTTGGTATTGCACTTGTGTTTTCTTTCGAAAAAATGAATAATATTTTTTGAGAGAATTGCATTTTAGTACGCAGTCC